GAGTGCAAAGGCCCGGTCACCTTTAGCTTTGAGCCAGGATTTAGAAACAGCCAGGAGAGTCCTGCCTGAGGATCTGAGATCTGAGGCTGCACTCTGGCTCACAGGGGAGCAGTGATTTAGCAATGCAACAAGGACCTAAACCATAAAGTGCTTTGAAGGTAATAGGTAAAATCTCAGAGGTTCTGTATGCAAAATTCAGAGCATTAATAGACATAGCAGCAAACAACTATTTGCCGTGTAACGATAGAGTGGAGTAATGGCATCCTAAGAAGAGAATACAGTGACAGTCCTGCTGTGTGTGTTGTAATCACAGATTCTCTGTGGTTTGTTGTTGTGTGTGTGTGCATGCTTGTATCCCACTGGGTAGCTCATTGCCGCTGCTCTGCACTGCGCTCATACTGCGGTTATTGCTGACATTAGGATGACATCGTCATCAAAGCATAGCGCCCACCCTCTGGTTCCCCCTGGTTATCACCATTAGCTCTGTCAGCACTGTTACCATTGTTTAACGCTGGCACCATTAGACTAGCTGGCTCAGCCACCTCAATGCTGAGAACCATATCCAGACAACCTATACACTCTGAATGTCACATAGAGTTTTAACATTAGTTCTAAAACTTGTAACCAGTGAGGCTCAGACGGGGCTGATATGATCCCATCTTCTAGTATTTGTTACAGCTGGGGTGCAGGACTTAAACATATATAGCAAATGAACATCTGTTACACTCAAGCCCTTGCCTAATGAGTTCACACATTTCACAGTATACCATAGTTGTGGTGTATGTTGCGACTTTGCCCTGCGGATTCAACTAAGTGGTGCGTTTTAAGTCAACCAGCCACAGCAACTGTTGGCATGAAGGGAGAGAGACTAAAATTATTTATTTTATGTCAGACTTGTTTTGTGTTTGGTGTCTTTTTCTGTTTGGCTCCATTTTCATTTTGTTTTCTTGTATTTTCTTTTGTTATCTTATATGTAAGTGATGTAGCGAATGGTACAGGTTATAGTTTATCTTTGATGCTGTGCATGTTGACAGTGTGAAATAAAGACTTTTTAAAGGGGGAACGGAGACCATGGCAACAGAGCAGCAGTTAGGGGTGGCAAAAGCTGTGGCGGACAATCTTAGGAAGTGTACAAGAAAAGTTTCTGGAGTGATGCTCCAAATAAAAAGAAACTTGGCAGCAAGCTCACCGCATACGTCATAAACACGTCAACAGTGTTCATTACTCTCACTGCCAGAGGGGGAGACAAAAGCTCCGCACTCCAGCTTTAAAAATGAAGCAGCTGCATTTTGTATTCTCTGTAGACATGAGATTATTTTTTGGCTTCACAAAGGCCTTAATGACCTTTTGAGTTCAGTAAGAGGGATAGAAAAGCTCTAACTTTTAAGAAACTCCTCAATTGATAAAAACAAGATTGAAAAACTTATGTAACTTGTTTCTCAAATGAAAGGTCACTGTCAAATATTACACCCAGGTTTCTGGCTGCAGGTTTGACATTTGTAGACTGGGAGCCAAGATGTTTTTGTAAAATTGGGATGGTCTTTGGAGGATCAAACTATTGATATCAGATTTGTTTTCATTCAGCTAGAGAAAGTTTTAGGAGATCCAGTGCTTGATTTCTGACAAACAAGATAATAACCAACGAGAATCATCTTCTTCAGAGAGGAAGACTGTGTGTGTTTCTCTCTTTGAACATGGACAAATTGTTCAGAATTGTCAGTACTACGCATGACAAATAATTGCAGGAAAGCGATACATCTGGAATTTGTTGCGAGCAATAGAGACACTAGGGAAGAAAATAAAAGCTGGACTTAATTATAGATTAACTGCAGTGTATCCCAGGTTTCCACCCATTCAGATCTGTGTTTATTCTTACAGTGGCTCAGTGACAGGCCTCTTTACTGTTAAGCTCAACTCTGTTCAGCTTTTTTTTTGGCTCGGCTCACTTCACTCCATCGACTCCTAACACTTCTGCTGGCTGCCACTCTCACCCATTATGCAGATTCCCCGTCACACCGAGATTTAGGGGTGCCCCACCTGACACTCGACAACACCCTCACACACAAATACCCAGTGAGCTATCTTTGTTTATTTTTGCCTCATTAGCTAATTAGTCATGCACTCAGTCATTGTGGGAGAGCTGGCGTCTTGGCTGTCACTCGGTAATTGCTGGAATATGTTGAGACAACATCTAATTTGGACAAGGGTCACCAGGGAGATGCAGGCTGAGACCTTTTCAGTTCTGGCTCATATGAGACAGTGAAGGATGAGGGAGTCTGGAAGTTTTGTAAATGCTGTGTTGGTGGCAACCTTGGCATGAGAGGGGAAGTTGTTCCTCTCAAGTTTCAGTAGGCGTGGGTGGGCAACTTAAAGTCACTGCGTCAAGAATTTTTATGTGATTATGGTATCTTTAAAATGAGTCCTACCTGTTTGGCACTTATAAGCAGCATAGAGACATTTATTAACCTGTTTATAGGACACTTTATAGCTATGTTTATCAATGTACACTATTTTTTAACAATTATATTCTACAATACAAAGACAAATTTTATAACAACTGTGTTTTACTATAGTGTCACTCATTATCTGTTCATACACCAGCGTCTACTTATGAGAGCACACAGGTAGGGTTTTGATGAATACACTCATTACAGTGTGTTATAAGCCATTTCTTAACCGTTTATAAGTTGTGTAGTGCTTATAAATGTTGAGCAGAGTGGAGCGGTGAGAATTTCTGCTTCTCACTCACGGAGCTGTTTGTTCTCCTTGCTTATTATTGCACCATGCTCACCTTAAATTTCACCCCACTCTACTCAAATCACTCATCGCTCCCTCAGTTTCCTTTTGAAAGTACGATGTAAACTCCACTGTCGACCTCACAGCAGTTGATTTTTGACAGAGAATAGTTATAGTGTTCAATACACAGATGCATTTTTGCATTGAGCATGCTTGGAATTTGTGGTGAGAATGATACCGGAGCAGAGATGAAATGGGATGGAACGGGAGATAAGCCGGTATTCCAACTTTTTTTAAAAAAAAATCTGCTTTGCTCTCTACACAAAATCCTTTAACTCATGCTCCTAGCTTGCTCGTGCTGGTGCAACGTGAACTTCTTTGGAGTGTAAATGATCATTTTTAAAGCATATTGACATGTTTGCAAATAAGATGAGGAGAGGTCTTTCCCCATAAGGAGAGTCCAAGCTCCTGCCCTCCTCCTTTGCTCCTGTCATAACTACTACAGTGACTAGAGGGCATTGTCACTTGAACTTACACTGTTTTACGGCACTTTCTGTAATGACCATTGCTGTCATTCTTCGTGTGAGGACAGTTTCTGATTACCATATTAGGCAGTCTATGGTGGTGAATTTATTTTAACAGAACCAAAACAAGTTCATTAAACTACTGTGAAGCAGAGACATAGTTTCATTTAACTTTTTCCTGCGCATGTCATTCAAGACACAAATAGAGATCAATGATTTTCTTTCCCTACTATGCAGAAATTGTCAGCTGCTGTTTGTAAAAGTAAAGACAACCCCTGATTGTTATTTGATGTTATGGTGTATTGCAATGTGATTTTATGTTGTCTATTAATTTGGTGTGGGAGAGGACCCCAGCAAGAACAGCCCTAAATTAAACTGAGCAAAGTGTTAGTTCAGGCAGGACATGACGCCAAGCTCAGCTCACATCCCAGCTACATTAGCTAATCTTAAATAGCTCAATCAACTGATGAAGCAGCTGATTGATGGAAGGGAGTCAGCTGATAAATCACATGATTCCTATTTATGCAACCAATTGATGAATCTCATTCAGGGCGCCCTATTTAAACTGCTCTGGCTTGTCTACTGTTGCTACATCCTCTGCACGCCTCCACCCCAGCTCCTCTTTTTCATGCGGTATCTGACTCATCAATGTCATTTCTGTTTGTCATTGATGCTGGTTCTGTTCTGTTCCCTGGAGGTCTTTGCTGGTGCTCTCCCTGCCTTAGTCTTTCCATAAAGGTGGATGGAAGGGCAGAGAGGTGGGTTCTCTCTGCCTTAAGGCTTCCACGAAGGCATGTGGAAGAGGCTTTCTGTATAGGCCTAGGAAAGTCAGAGGGGCCCCAGAACAGAGCCATACCAACAAATATAATACTGCAAATGGAGATTAAATTTTCTTTGACTAAAGTGGTCCTGACTGAAATGAAATTACTATGATTTAAGGAAAAAAATAACTTTATTTGGACTTGTTTCAGGATTGTGTGTCTGAAGGGTTGATGATGTGAACCAACATTTAATTATTTTTTATAGAAGCATTGGTGAAAGAGAAACAATCCTATCATTGTTCTACCAAAGAGAAAACATTCTACCTTCACGACTGACTGGGTTTTCTTCTTTGCATCAGGGACTGCGCTGTAACATTCCTTCCTGTTAGAGATGAATGCTTGGTTGTTCAGTGTAAAGCTCTTGATGAGACCTAATGATTACAGGAGATACAAAAAGAAAGCACAGTCAACACAATTTAAGTCACATAGTTAATAATGTTTTCATTACATTCAGCTTATTGTGACTTTATCAGGATTTCTTGAGGGATTTTGTGCCGCATGAACAACAATTGCAATAATAGAGCTGATTAGATTACAGGCATTAATATGTGTGGGAGAATATTCTGAGTATGTTTTATTAAAGTGCAGGGTTGGATGAGTCTCTTTCAAAGATATAAACAGTAGAATGTAAATGCGTCAGTTCCCACCATTGCTCCTTTTCTTTTATCTGAACATATCATGTCACCCTTCCATTTTCTTCTTTCTCACCTCCTACTCTCTCCCTTTTACTTCTGTACCTCTGCTATCTATTATTCTGTTATTCTTTTCTTCCTTCCTCTGCTTCCTTACACCTCACATGACTTTTATCATCCACCTCTTTCCTCTCTGCCATGCTTCCATTTGTCTCGCTGAATCTTCTCCTCGTTGTCTATCCTTCATTCTTCTCCCATGTTCACTGTCCATCCTCTTTTCTCTCCAGGTTGCCATGGCGGTGTGTACCAGAGGAAGCTGTACCGAGACCTGATGGAAAACTACAATCGTCTGGAAAGACCCGTCCAAAACGACTCTGCGCCCATTGTTGTGGAACTCGGCCTAACACTGCTACAAATCATTGATGTGGTGAGTGTTTGTGCCTGTGTGTGTTTACGCAAGGCTGAGGTACAGAGTATGTTTGAAGACAGGTGGAAAAAATGAGTGTGAGTGGAATTAATTTGGAAATCAACACAGAGAGTGAGTAAGAAAAAGTGAAGTTGACACTCTTTGTCAAACTTTTTGCATGTTGGATTGTTTTTTCAGGTTTTTTGCTTTGTTTTGTTTGTGTTAAAGTTTTTCCATCTGATTTATCCACAGTGACTGTGGTACATGCTAATGCACACACCTTGTGCTTACTACACTTCATCTTCCTCTGAACTTAAAACTGTTATTCTACCAGTGGCAGCACCCAACCAAGACTATTCATCTTTGAAATAGCAAGTTCTTTATTTCTCCCCTTGATCTTTTCTTTCATTTTGTGTCACCACAGACTCTCAGTCCTGTCTTTTATTTGACAAAAATAGTCAATCTCACTGTTGAGATATGCTGTCTTACATTTTTGCACCAAGCTGCTCCTCATTCTTCCTCCCTCCTCCTCCTCTTATCATCATCTTATCAATTGCCTCAGATCAAAATGGCTTGCATTTAGATGCAAATAGATAGACCATTTAGAGTAACAGATCATGCATTCTCGGAACCCATCGGCTGTATTCGGCGTCGGACTTATGGCAGATGGCAATACAGCCTCTGGGGGCAGACCCCTGATTTTTTGGCATTCCGGTTTGATTTGGAAGGAGGAGGCGAATTTCCATTTCCCACTTCTGTTCATATATAAGTAAATATGCTGAACCATTGCGATGGATTCAGAGTTTGCAGTGACGCCAATTATGTTCCGCCTCGTTAGTTCGGCGCACGGACCGTTTAACCTGGCAACAACTGACACTCAAACGTGATTGGTCAATATCACGCGGACTACAAACAGCCTACAACCGGAAACCAGGGCTCTTCCGCTCTTCTTCCGGAGGCAAGTTCTCCGGGGTTTGCCTACAGACTCTACATTCACTGAGTGTAGAGTCTGTATATAGAGACTACAGATCATGTGACGTGCAGAGATGAGCTGTGACAGTTAAGCATCAATATCTCTGTGGTTGAGTGTTGCTGTTTTTGAAAAGTTCCACATCAGCTGCAGCCATTCTGGTTGTTTCTTAAAAATGACTTAATGGCACTCCTCTTTAATTGCAAGACAAAAATTACTTCATCACATATGCTATGTAAAGTGCGAAGGCTTTGCAAGCTGTCATTGTCTGAAACCACATTAGATAAACAGTTATGACTGACCCAACTCATTTAAGGCAGGCTGGAATCATATGGTTCCCCGGCTAACCACTTCATTGACTCTCCACTGGTGGTCTGCCAACCTCACTGTAGCTGAAGTCACTGAAGTCAATCTGATTAGAGATTCCAACTTTACTGTTTATACAAAGTCTAAATAAAGTGATTCAATAAGATGTGTGTGTTCACAAGCCCCAAAGCATTTATTCAGAATATAATTTATTTTCACTTGTACAAAGTGGTTTTGCCAGCTGTGAAGCATCTAATCTGCTCTAAATATAACAGAAGAGGAAATTTATTTCCAACTTCACTGAGAAAATTGAATTCATTCAATACATAAAGTATAGAGGGAGAAGAAGTGGTTCCACCTGTTGATACAATTCAGAAGTATGTAACGCAAGTGTAACCCAGGTTATTTTCTGTAGCTGCAAATTATAAATGTCCCCTAAACACCTCACATTCACCCTATCAATAGACACTAAGATTTACTGATGTTCCCTAAATGTCTCACATTCAGCGACAGACAATTTTTATGACAAGCAACTCCACAATTCAGCTGTTAGATAAAACTACTGTTTGAAAATCAAAGATTACATTTATGAATCAGAGCACTCACATAAAAACGTAGCACTAACAGAGAGAATATTTTTTAAATTTATGAACAACTATCTGTGAAAATTAGCAGAGAGAGGCATGTAAAAACAGTGTACACTGTGTGAAGTGTACACATCCCCTACGTCACCTAATGTTATCCCCATGTGGGTTAAATATGCTCAGAAATAATAAATGTATTCCAAACAGAGAGAAACAAAATAGATTAGGGGGTTTATATGGTTATGTGCTAATATTTTCACATTAAATGGCTTATTAAAGGTTTACAACCCCACTGAAAATTCTTTCCTATTGGGACGTATCGGCTAAGTCTGATTATGCATTTTTATTCTAGTTGGGCTATTTTATTCTTATTATTAGTGGAACATTAGGGCTCATGTAAATGCACATTGTGACCATTACTGTGTCATGTTTCTACAGTTGCTACATTGGTTGTTTGGGGTCAATCAACATGCACTGCACAAATGGTTGACTCAAATTTCCCCAAAAGGTGCAAGGCGAAAATTTGCTTTGTCTTCATTCTTTGCACCTACCCAAGAAACATTTGGATGCATAACTCCCTGGAAACCACAACATGTTTTTTTTACAATACAGATTCAGATGAGAGATGTTAATTTGTGAGCTTTTTTTTTTTTTTTTTTAATAGCTTTGGACAGGTCCAGACTAGCGGTTACCAGGCTAAGCTTACTGGCTGCGGCTGTAGATTTATATTTACTGTACAGATATGAGAGTGCTATCAATGTTCTCCTTTAACTCTTTGTGAGAAAGCGAGTATGTGTAGTTCTCAAATTGTCAAACTATTCCTTTAAATACTTTCTGTACACTCTCCAAACCTGAACACAATACCACTGTTTCTTCTTCCTCATTTGTATCAAGTTGTTTCTTAAGACAAAAGCTTCATTCAAAAGCCCAGTTCTTATCCATGTGTCCTACATTTTACACCCACAAACACACACAGTCACAAAAACAACCAGAAACACACAGAAGCATCTTTTAGCTCAATATGGCCACAATCCTTCCTGTCAAACCCTCTGCTCTTAAATCGACACTTCTGTGGTTTGGGTAGATTTTCTGTCACATCTCATATTATGTTTTGCTCCTTCTTGGTTCACCCTGTGCTTTACTGTGTGTTTCCTCCTGTTCCTCATCTCATGCATCTATCCTCTCTTCAACCCACACATAACCCCTTGCCTGTTAGCCCCACCACACAGCCGGAGCACTCATCCAAAAAACCCAAGCCGACACCCCGTCACATCCCTGAGCCAGTCCTGTCACAAGACGTGTATGTCTTCTCATGATAACTACATGCTGGTAAGAGGCGTACACTGGGCTGTTATATAGGATTCCCGTTCTATTATTAATACAGGCAAGTTTACAGCACATAGAAAACATCATTTAAATGTTTTCTTAGAGCTTTCCAACAACAGACACAGAGTCAAGAGGTGAGGTAATCTCGGGAGAAAACATATGGCGTGTTTCAAACACCATGTGGCGAGAACTTTTAGTGCCTTTTGTGAAGGAGAGGTTGATTTAAAATGTTTTTAATTTGGTGAAGTTACAAATAATGTGTTGTGCTTAAGTTATGGTCAGTATTGAGACAGTTAAACTGATCTGAGTTGTTGTACATTAGTCATACATCTCCAAAGACCAAAGACAAACATACATCTGTTGAATATGTTTTAATATGTGTGTTTGCTTTTTATGCACTGCTAGTTGTTACTGTTCACTACATTGTTCACTAATGCCCTCTATATACTGTGTGATTTTAGCAATCTTATAAGACCATTGCATGACACACTGTGAGACGTGGATCTAATAAACTTTGGTACGACGTCAAGTTTGATGTGGCAGATTGTACGATGGTCGTTTACTACTGAATCGCAGGTTACGACGTACGTCAATATGCAACGTCATCAGTGTGCACCGCATCAGCATACGTCATCCATCTGCGCCATCATAGGTACCTTACTCTTCTGGAAGTTGCAGTTCCTCTGCAACTTCCTTCCATGCAGCGTCTTTTTTCTCGCGGTCATGATAATTTTTTATTTTATATACTTTATTAATAGCAGCTGGAGGAAACATCAAATAAACAAGGCTTCTGCTGTCACAGCTCCACCAAACTTTCCTCTTTCTGGGAGTTCCACAGACTTCTTTTTGTTCGTTTTACTTCCATGGCAAGTGATCATTTGTTTGGGTTTAGCGCCGGTGTCGCAGTGACCATTGTGTCATTTTGTGCTGCATTTTTATTGGTTGATTAGTAGACATAGGTCGTAGCAGCTGTCACACTGTGAGATAGTCATCCTAAATTTCTCACACTGTCAGAATTTTATCTCAGGTTATCTTTGGTCGCAAGACATTGACAACAGCTGTCCTTGAACCTGTCTCACAGTGCGACGTAAGACCACCGTTTTAGAGCCACGACCAAAGATATAGCCACGTTTCTCCCACGATAGCCATCTTTCGTCTGGGACAGCCCAAAATCGCACAGTGTATACCGGCCATAAGTCGATGCATAATGGATAAGCTGGCAAGACCATATGAATAAATGCTTACTGGGCAGTTGTAAATAATGTAAAACTGGTTGTGTGTGTGTGTGTGTGTGCTCATAAGTGTGTGTAATGTGGCCTTTGATTCCTCCATCTGCTCTGGGTAACTCTCTAACCAGGGAAGTGGGGCAGGTCAAAGCCCATAGACACCATGATGATCACCATGAATAATGACAGATACACGAGCAGACTGGCAGATGAGCACAGGACTGGTCACAGTCCAGTATGTGAAGGGGTAGCATGTGCATGTAGCAAACAAAGAAACTAAGGTTACATTTCAGAAATCTGTACTGAAAGGGACAGTTCACCCCCATATCAAATATTCTTCCTCTTACCTGTAGTGCTATTTGTTAATCTAGATAGTTTTGGTGTGAGTTGCAGAGTGTTGGAGATACTGGCTGTAGAGATGTCTGCCTTCTCTCAAATACTATGGAACTAGATGGCACTCGGCTTGTGGTGCTCAAAGCACCAAAAATACATTTGAAAAACTCAACAGCAATGTCTATTTCCAGAAATTATGACCTGGTTGCTCAAAATAATCTGCAGACCTTTATGTGGAAACTGTCTTCTTTTTACCAAACTACAAACGCCATTGGT